GCAGGGAGCAGGGAGGGGCAAGCCAGTCCCCCTCCCAGGGTAAGGGGAGGAGGGCAGCAGCAGCCCCCCCCTCCCCTGGGGAGGGCTTGTAGTGCCTTGGGGACCAGCCAGAAGGACTCGAACACTTCAGACGGGGCGGAGGGCCCTTTCCTCTGCATAGCTGCAGATGGAGAAGCGCATCCAAATCCAGCCCACGTGCTTCTGGAGGCAAACAGCGGCAAAGGCAGTTCCGCCCCTTGTGCGGCTCTGGGGAGGCACGAGTCCTTGTTCCAGGCAGGCCCCATTGCTCTTCGGGCTGCTCAACTTGCCTCGAGAGCCGTGGCCGAGGAGAAGGTCTTTCCAGGCTGGCTGGAGGAAGACGGCCTCGGCAGGGAGGGAGGGAGGGAGGGGAGGGGGCCCCGGCCGTCCAGCTCAACCTGTCGACAGCCCCAGCCTGCACCGGCGTGGCCTCCGCTACGTCATGGTGATGACTTGGCAGGAGCCGTTTTGGCAGGCGGGGCCAGGGGCCTCTGTCGTCGTGCGGCCCTTGGGCGGCCACTCCGGGTCCACCAGCAGCTCCTGGGCCAGGTGCATGTAGCGGGCCTTGGGAGGCCTCTTCTTCAGGCCCAGCAGTGCCGGCAGGGCACATCCGTGGCAACGGTCCAGGCCCTCCTAGGAAAAGACAGGGGTTGGAAGCTGGGCGGCTCCCTCACCTGACTCCCAGCAACTCAAGCAATGCACACTGGATGGTCTCCTTATTTCTGAACTGGCAGGTCTCTAAGTTCTCTGCTGCAGCTCCCACCACTACCATCACCACCACCACCATCTGTTTCCCCGGGGTGCTCTAGTTCGGCTGCATGACCAAAGGCTCACCTGAGCACCCTCCCCTGCCAAGATGGAAACCCCCGGTGAGCAGAAAGCTTTCAGGAGCTGAGGGGGGGGGGATGCTGTCGCCCAGCATAGTAAGTGCCAGGGTCTCTCAGCTGGGGGAGAAGGCCTAGCACCAAACATCCACTCCACCCACCCTCGCCATCTAGCCTACCGGCACGGCTGTTGCCACCCACATTCTCTATCCCCTGGAGCTTCTCGGGAGGCAGGGGGTGCAGCAAGCAGAAGAACCTTCTGCCCTGCTCTCCCCCATCGCATCACACCACCGGGTTTCCGCCAAGCACTGCAATTACGAGCATAAGCTCTTTTCAAACAGCAGCCGAGTCCCCTCCCCGCCAACCGCCTCTGAACAGGAACCACCGCATGCTCGAAGGACGGACGGTAACGTGCACAGTTCCAACCTGAGATGGGTGGGAGGAGGAGGAAGAGGAGGAGGAGGAAGAGGAAGCTAGGCGGTCCTCCCCTTGCTTGTCTCGATTGAAGATAACCTTCCAAAGGACCATGTCAAGGAGAAAATTCTGTGGTTTGATCCAAGAAGCAGGGAGAATCAAGAAGGCATAATCAGAAAGGGGTTCAGAAACAAGAGCAAAGTTGGGGTGATTAAGTCAGTGCAGAGAAGAAGAGCTTTGGAATTCCTCCGGAAAGAGGCCTCGGGCAGCTCCAAGGAGGGGACTCTGGCAGGCAGGCCCTAGGCAGAATGCGGCCGTTCCTGCTTCTGGCAGTTCAAGAACTCCTGCCCAGCACAGCCGATGATGTCTGGTTTAGGTTTCTTTCCTCCTGTGTGCTCTCGGGAGCACACGCTTCTTCTTAGGAGAGGCACCAAAGTGCAACTCCTGTTAGTATTACTGCTGTTTAATAACAACTATAACAATACTTGAAGAAGTTCTAGGAGCTGTGTGAAAACCCACCCATTTATGAAGGAGAGGCTAAGGAGAATCCCCACCCCTTTTCAGACCGTCAGTGCACAGGAAGATGGTCTGGCAGGGTGGGCCGTGGGAAGGACGGCTTCCTGGGACCCAGACACTGCCCACTTGGCTCCCGTTTCAAAGCAGAAGGCGTGTTTTCCTTGCCTGTGGTCAGCAGAAAGACCTGCTCCAAATGGCTTACCTCCACCAGAATGGACACAACGGCATTGACGACTACGATGAGGAGAACTGTGATACGCCAAGCGTAAGGCACGCAGACCAGCTGTGGAGCAACAACACACGCACACACACTCCTGTGAGGAGGGTGGGCAGCCGCACTTCCTTCTGAAGGGTGGGAGCTCCTATCACGAAGTAAGGCCCAAGGGCCATGCTGGGGGAGGGGGGCAAAGCTCCCCATGGATGTGTTTCCCAGAGTCCCTCCGGTGGGCGGCCTTGACGCAGTCCTGAAGAGGGAGCCCCCCACCAGCCTTCCTTGGCCTGGCCTCTCCCCCGGACGGGTGGATGTCAACCCCACAACCCCCTGGCCAGAGCGGCCACTGCCATGAAGCCCACCCAGATGAGGAAGGCTGCAACAGCTCGGCTGATGCGGTGGCTGGGGGCTGGACCTGCCCCTCGTACCTCGAAGAAGGATTCAATGGCTGCCACTGGGTACAGCAGGAAGGTCAGAGCGAAGGCATAAAGGGCCAGCACAGAGACCACGAACGGATCTGGGGAGGAGACAGGACTTAGGCTGCTCCTGCTGCAGCTCGACAGGGACACCCCCACCTGCCTCCCCCAGATGGAGGGCTGGACTTGATGCCTTGTGCACGCCAGCACTTCCCCCTGGCAGGCGCCCCAAGACCTCCCCAGGCTGTTTCTCCTTTGGGCGCCCTCCTGCCCAAAACAATCTTTGCACGGCTGCAGGCCAGGACGGCCTCCCCTCCGGGCACCTTTAACCAGCGAAAAGGAGGACCGATCCCAAGCAAAGCGCGGGAGGAGGTGGCGGCGGCGGTAGCGGACGTACAGTTTTTGTAGCAAGGTTGCCGAAAGGGCCTGCCCTTGGAAAAGACAATGGCAACGATGAGGTACTGGAAGCTGGAGATGAAGAAGAGGGTCGTGTTCTCGTAGTTTCGGATGTTATGCTCGTCGTGGTCAGACGCGTTAACGTGCTGGGAAGCGTTGGCCAAGGCAGCTCCTGAGCGGTTGCAGGCGCTGCAAGACAAGCCGCGGCCGAAGGGTGAGCTGCGAAGCCGGGGAGGCCGGGCTCCGCCGCCGGGCTTCTCCCGC